TTCCTTCCTTCCTTACTTCCTTACACCTACGTACTTCCTTCTTTCCTTCCTAACATACTAACTTAAGTACTTGCTTGGTTGCTTACTTACTGACTCACTTCCTTCCTTACGAACTTGCTTGTTCCTTCATTACTTCCTTATACTTACTTCTGTCTTTCCTTCCTTAATTACTTACACTTCCTCCCTTTCTGACTTACTGACTTGCATTCAATTCCTTGCTTCCTTTCTTCGTTCCTTGCTTGGTTGCTTACTTACTGACTAATTTCCTTCCTCCCTCCAGTTCCTACCCACTTACTTACTTACTAACTCACTTCCTTACTAACTTACTTACTTTCCCACTTAGTTACTAACCAACTAACTAACTAACATTATTCCTTCATTACTTCTTTTTGTATGTTCTTCCTTTCTTACTATCTTACTTGCTTACTCACATCCTTACCTAGCTATCTACCTACTTGTTCACTTGCGTCCTTCCTCACTGACTTATACTTCACACAGAAAGAGGGGAAGAAGGTAAAGGAAGGACTAGAGGGGTTTTAAACATTTTAAAACTGTCTCACCGTAGCTGAATCCTGCGGTGGACTGAGCCGCTTTATCCTGTTTCCCGACTGGACACCTCAACCTGGCAACTAGACCTGAAATAAAGACACATTTAAATAAGGAAATGTATGTACAGTCATCTTATATATTAGCCTACTAGCACAGACCTAGCATTGTCATTGTTAGGAAGTGAGCATGCTAACACTGACCTAGCATTGTCATTGTTAGGAAGTGAGCATGCTAACACTGACCTAGTATTGTCATTGTGAGCATGTTAGCCTGCTAGCATGGCTGTAAATGAGCTAGTACCTGCTGCATTGTGTTTGTGATACTCGATGAGGTCGGGGATGGAGCAGAATAAATGTTTCTCAGCCAGATAAAACTGCAGAGGCGATTCCTTTGTCTCCTTGATGTGGTAATGCTTTATAACTGCTCCTCCGTCCCTGAAACACACACAACAACAACAACAACAACAACCATTATATTAACAACAAGCTAGCACAGAATGGTAGTGACGCTAATGAGGAACATATTTGATTTTACATTACATTTAAGTGAACTTAATCCGGTTCTAATAGCAAAAAATATGTTACGTGTTAGATTTTTCATGTCCATTTTTGATCCAGGAATTGTTTTCCATTAATTTGCAGAAATTGTTTTGTGCAGACTTTTTACATCATTCTGCACACTGCATTAACGCTCAATAATGCATATCGATTAAGACCAGATGTTTATTATATGTATATGTAGTAAGTCTCAACGATCTAATAAAACATGCAAGGTAATATACGTTTTGTTTTTTTTAAAGGTCAAAATGGAAAGAAAAAAAATGTGGCAATTATTGATCTTGTATCGTGCATAACTTTAGTGGATCACAACATGTTATGTATAGAATTAATCTGCATATGGCCCGGCTCAAAACAAGATCAACATCTTCTATAAATGTCTTGTTTTTGAGGCACAAAATGAAGCCTACAAAAAACCAGGCGAGGATAATTTGAAGCCTGTTGCTACAGAAGCTAATGCATGAGAATGATCTATACAGTAGTGAGGTAGATCAGCTCCCCAAAGTCTGGTGGAAATATAAAATCAATCACAGGTATGTAACTAAGTTAGTGTAAGTGTTTACCCTGCAGATGTTTTGGCGTACAGAGAGACGGTGTAAGCTCCCGAAGTGCTGGAGTCTCTGACGATGAAAGCGCCTTCTTTATCCTGCAGGGGGCGACATAATGCATGTTGTGACTTAGTGATCACAACATCCTTTTGAACAAGTAATATGTAAAGATCTCCTCCAGCAACACTGAAAAGAATATAGCTATTTTTAAATGCAATGAAGTTAATGGTGTGTCAAAGAGGAACTCAAATGAGGCAGAAAATGGGAAGGAACGGTAAAATATATAGATATTTATTATTTTAGATTGGAAAGGGTGATATGGAAGTCAAGTAAGTTAGAAACTCACCTCCTTCCTCAGCAGCTCCTCGGCCTTATTCCTGTTGACTTGTTTACTGTACCACCTGCAACAACAACATCAATAAACTAACATTATGTACATGCACGTCTTCACAGAGATCTAGTACATTTGTGTGAAGAATATGCAACTCGTTGGTAGTTTGACATGCCCTACATCTTAAACCAATATTATTCTACCTGTAAAAGTGAGAAATGATTAACAAACTCACACAAAATGCACCAGGTTTCCGGATTTTCTCTCCGTTACATAGTTACTTGGGATGTAGCCTTCCTCTCTGTGTGTGTATACACACACACACACACACACACACACACACACACACACACACACACACACACACACACAGTTTCTCTCTCTGTGAGAAACTTCGCTCCACAGGGTTCAATCACAGAGTTTTGCACACACACACACACACACACACACACACACACACGAGGAATCAGGTTAGCATCTCGAAACAAACTGATAATCATGCATTCATGTGGAATAACTAAACAATTTTAAAGGAATGTTACATTTCAGCATTAAAAGGTGTAAAAACGACTATACTATGTTTCAGAGAAATTAGTCATTGTAATCAAGGTAATGGTGTATTTCATTGGATGCCCTATAACACGGATTTTAGGCAAAATTAAAAATACAATTCACAATTGAAACAAGTGTTAATACTTATTAGATTTTCTGACAAATGTATGTGGAAGAAAAAACGAATTTACCACTTAAATCTGTGAGAATTATAACCCTATTATATATATATATATATATATATATATATGTATCCCTGCTTTCTTTGTCTCAAACATATATTCATTTATAAACCTACAATAACGTTTCACTGTACACTTTTTAGATATTCAGCCAAATGTTGTAATTTGTGATTAATATGCAGTGTTATGCTGGAATTACCATATTTTTCTGGGTTTAATTGCAATTAATGTATGAAAATGATGCCAAAATGACTACATGAATACTTTGACAAGTTTTCACAAGATGGCAAGCAAAACAAGCTGCTTCGTCAACATTCAAAATAACAACTTCTAACTGCAATGGACGTCAACAAACGCCATCTTTTTTTCCATTGTTGTGACACAGTGCCCCCTGGTGGCAGATATTAGATCCACACTCACCCGTACTTGTTCCTCGCTCTGAACCAGTTCACGTCACATTTCTGCAGGACCACGTACTCGCCTCCTTTCTCCAGACTCAGGTCGTGGGGCTCCATCCCGGGGAAATCGTACAGCGCCACCACCACCGCCTCTTCCTCCTCATCCTCATCTTCGTCTTCATCATCTTCATCGTTCATA